ATTTGAAATGGAGCTCGCCAGCGCGGGACAAGAAAGGGTCACTGTGGAGGCCCCACGTGAAGAAACGCTCGAGCGCGGGCGCTGCGTGGAGAATTGGCGGGATGCAAGCTCCGTTTCTGGGGAGCGGCGCTCGTGGAGCCCACCGTGGGCGCGAGGGCCGCTGGCGCAGACTCTGCCGCCACTGCGGCGAGGGTCCGAAACCCCCCCTTTGGGAGCCATGTCGCGCGGCTGCGCCGGCGGCGGAGAAGCGGGACCTGACGGCAAACGCCGGCTCCGAAGCCTCAGCGGCTGCGGGCGTGGCGGCGCAATCGCGAACCCGCTGCACGAGGCAGCGCAGCCCGCCACGAGGGCATCATCTCCAACCGGGCGGGGGTCCCCGCGGGAGCCCCTGGCCCCCTCCCCGACCCCGAGCCCTCCGCCGCCTTTCCGCGGCGCCCTCCTTCCCCCCTCCGTTTGGCCACGATATTGCACACTTTTTGGGCCCCGGCTTTACCTACTTCTTTGGCCTCCCTTCCACAGAAGCACACTCTTTTGACCACGATTTCTCTCGCAATTAAATCAGCAAGAAAAATCGTGTTCAAAATCGCGGGCGGTTGCGTGGGGCCTTACAGGGGGGGCGGAATCGTGACCGAAAATCGCGGGCACAATCGTGTCCGAAATCGTTGGCGAAATCGTGTCCGAAATCGCGGGTGAAATCGTGGACGAAATCGTGGGCGAAATCGTGGGCGCAGAATCGTGGGCCTGCCCGGCGCGCCGGCATGCCAAGCAGGCGCGCCCGCGCAACATCTGTGACAGTAAGGAAGAGAGGAAGAGGAGGAAGCGGCAGCAGCGGGGGCCAGCAGCAGCAGAGGGAAGAGGAAAGAAGAGGAAGCAGCAGCAGGAGAGGAGGAGAGAAGAGGTCGGCGAAATTGGTCCGCCCGCTCGTCGCGCGCCTCAAAGCACACTGGACATACTGCTCGGGGGATACTCGCCGGCCAAACGGGCCAGAGGCGTGCGAAGATCTTCGGCGACTGCCTCACAGTACTTCTACTTCGCGCGCGCGGGGCGGCCACTAGGTGCCCCCAGACGCAAAGTACTCCGGCCAGGTCGGGCCAGAGATGGTTTTCCTCCTGGGCGCGGCTTTCAGGCGCCCCAAAGCGATCCAAGAGGGCCCCAAGAGGCGCCCAAGACGGTCCAAGAGGCAGGCCTCCGAGTCGTCGAGCGATCGGTCCGCGACACCCACGATGGCTTCCAGACGGCCCACGACGCGTACAAGACCTCCAAAAAGGCCACCGCGAGCTGCGACGATACCCGAAAACGCGGTCCTGAACTTAAAAAAAGGTAGCAGAGAGATGAGGCGGAAACAGGCCGGGGGCGACACCGCTCAAATGACGCGTCGAGCCGAGAGCGCGCGCAAGCCGCACGCCGAATGCCCACCATCGGAGCGGGTCGGCGACACAACAACTTCTGAGAAAAAACAAAACAAAAAAACTGCCGCGGAATAAAACAGAAAATCGTTGCACCAATCCGCTTGGGGGACGCAGCTGCATGAAAAATGCCATTTAGTGACAGCTGCCAGGTAAGCAGCGAAAAGAAGCGGGTCTGTGGCAACCTGACGCGGTGGCTTACGCGAGCCGCCAGCGCGGCACGCCACATTGGAAGCGAGGACGCTTACGCGCGACCTTATTCGGGACGCCCACGCGACTATGTCGGTGAAGACGAGCCCATTATTCTGCATGGCTCAGGTGCGCTCCGTGCGCAGGGCACCGCCTTCGGAGTGGACCCAGCGGAGTAGCTGACCGACGTCCAAAGACAACCGACTGTGTCTGGCGAGACGCCTGTCGATGAGCGAAAACGACCGGGGACTGCACTGGCACACTCGAGTGCCAATGCCGAGTTCGCTGGTGCAGACTTCCTGTGTGGGTGGGCGACCTCTAGACCTCCAGCCCAAACGCTTCTGCTGGCGCCCGTCGTCTCGGCTACACTCAAGAGCGACCCTGGGCGAGGGTCACCTTTCGTGCGCGGCCACGGGGGGGCCCTATGGGGACACCACCGGGCGCGCAAGCCGCTGCTGTCGACCCGCACTCGGCGATCGGGGGGCCCCGCTGGGCCCGCACCACCGGTCACTCTCTGGCGGAAGGTCACTCTCACGTGTAGTGCATCGTCCTCTGCCTGCAGCAGGGAGCCCCGCGCCAGAGGCGGGCCCGGCCTCTCGAGCTGCCAGGGCCCGGCGCCGCCGCGCGCCGCGTGCCTCACGCCGAGCGACAGGGCGGCCCTGACGACGGCGGCGGCCACCAGGGCCTGCTCGACGGCGCGCGACCGGGTGGAGGTGCCCACGGCGGGGACCGTTAGCTCAGCGCGTCGCGGCGGCGGCCCCGGCGACGCGCTGTGCACCGCAGGCGGCTGGCGTGCCGCTGCGCTCCGCGGGGCCGAGGGCTGGGAGCAGCTCGGGGCGCTGACGCTCGGGATCGGCGGCGAGCCCGGGGGGGAAGTGAGAAGGAGAGGGCCTCCGCGGGAAGCTCGGAAGTCCCCGGGCCTGCTGAGAAGTGTTCTGAGCCCTCCCCGAAGAGGGCACCGGAACTTCTCGGAGGGCGCGAGGTCTGAGGAGTCCCGCCACCTTCTGATGAGGCCTTCTCCTTCTCACCTCCCCCCCTCGCTCGGCGCCGATAGGAGTGGTAAAGTGGAAAACGTGTCTCGCCGAAGCGTCGTGGGCCAAAACCAGTGGAGCGAAACGCTAAGCTAAAGTTCCTGACCGTATGAGGACAATCCTGGTGGCCTCGCGCTGCAACTTGATAACAAATTTACGTCGGATCCACGTCGGATTTACGTCGGGCTCACGTCGGAATAATTCGGATTTACGTCAAGTTTACGTCGGGTTTACGTCGGAGCATCGCCGCGCGAACGTCTGATGGGGTGGACGTGGACTAGATAATAAAACGATTGCGCGCCGCACGAGGCCTCCAGGATGTTCCTGAGAGCGGGGCGAGGTCCCAGACATCCAACGTCTTGGACAAAAAAACAAGGCGGAAGCGTTTCCCCGTTTTCCACTAACAGGGGCCCTCGCCGGGCCCCGGGACCGCCGAGAGGTCACTCGGGAGGCCGCCCTGGGGAAAGGGTCAGGACTTCTGGGGACCACGTATCAAAAAAACATCAGATCTCTGGGGTGGGGGTGGACTACTGAGAATGTACCCAAGGACCCCGAGGAGGAAACTCCTGGAAGGGCTTCACGAGAACGAGTAAGGGCTAGCAAGCCAGATTTAGGGGCCACTGAGCAGAATGAAGCCAGATTGGGGCCAGGAGTAAGCTGGATTCAAAAGGATTGAGCACGACTGAACAAAACTCAACAGGATGAGGCCGGATTCGACCAGTTTTCGACCACGGATATATGAGCGCTGATGTTGAATTTAACCTCCCAGGAGTTGCATCTTCCTCGGAAGGCACCCAAGACCCCTCCCTCGGGTCATGAACAAAAATACGATGGACGATTTTGCGCCGTTCATGGCCTCTGGGGGCCGCTTTCGCGCCGTGGAGGCTGCCAAGAAAAACACGCGCAGTGAAAACCTACCTGGTGCTGGGGAAGGGATCGATACCTCTAGGGTCCACGTTGACCGAAATCACGACGTCGGGGGTCTGGGGTGTGGAGGCTCCTTGGAGGCCCCCTGGCCTTCTAATAAGCATTATCCGAAGAATCCGACCTCTTATGAGAAGCACTCTACTCTCTTGGAAAACTACCCTCTCGCCCCGACCCCCTCTGCGCGCCGCCAGGCCTTCCGCCACAAGCTCATGCTCCGCTTGAAATGTGTGTGTGCTAGTGTTAAAACCCGCGTTCCTCACTATTTCCCTGGGACACCCCTCAAATCATCCTCCGCCGCCTCCGCCCACCCCGCCGCTCCCGCCCGCCCCTCCGCCGCCCCTTCCCCTTCTTTTTCGGCCCCCCCGCCCGCCGCGCCCGCCCCCCCCGCGCCGAAAAGGAAGGAGATGAGGAGAGGAGAGGAGAGGAGAGGAGAGGAGAGGAGAGGAGAGGAGGAGAGGAGAGGAGAGGAGAGGAGAGGAAAGAGGAGAGGAGACGAGCAGAGGACAGGGCCGCCAGGGCCGCGCCGAGGAGAGAGGGGATGGGAGTGGAGGACAGGGGAGGAGAGGAGGGGAGAGGGGAGAGGGGAGAGGGGAGAGGAGGGGAGAGGAAGGGGGGAGGAGGGGAGAAGTGAAGAGAGGGGAGGGAGGGGAAAGGACAGAGGAGAGAGAAGAGAGGAGAGGGGAGAGAGGAGAGGGGAGGCGAGGAACGAGGAGGGGAAGAGGAGAGGAGAGGGGAGAGGGGGAGGGGAGAGGAGGGGGAGAGAGGAGGGGAGGGGGAGAGGAGGGGAGGGGGAGGACCCCCCGCGCTCGCGCTCGCCCCGCGCCGCGCGCTGGCCCGAGCGGCGGAGCGGGAGGAGAGGGAGAGGAGCGGAGAGGAGAGGGAATGGAGAGAGGAGAGGGAATGGAGAGGAGAGGAGAGGGGAATCGGGGAGGAGGAGGAGGAGGAGGAGAAGGAGGAGGAGGAGGACGGGCAGGACGGGGAGCAGGCGGAGGAGAGGGAGAAAAAGAGGAGAGAAGAGGAGAGGGGAAGAGGAGGAGGACGAGGAGGATGAGGAGGAGGAGGAGGAGGAGGAGGAGGAGGAGGAGGAGGAGATGAGGAGAGGAGAGAGGCGAGAATTGGAGAGGAGAGGAGAGGAGGGCGCGGGAGGGGAGGGGGCTAAGGAGGGGAGGGGAGGAGACGAGAAGAGAGGACACGGGAGGGGAGGACGGGGGAGGAGAGGAGATGAGAGGAGAGGAAAGGCGAGGAGGGGGGAGGAGGGGATAAACAACGAGAGGAGAGAGGAGAGAGGAGAGAGTAGAAGGGAGGAGAGGAGAGAGAGGAGAGGAGAGGAGAGGAGAGGAGAGGAGGAGCGAGAGAGGAGGAGAGAGAGGAGAGGAGAGGAGAAGGGGAGAGGGGGGGGAAGATGAGGGGGGGCCGAACCCCCGCGCTCGCCCCCCCCCCCCGCGCCGCTGGCCCGAGCACTGGGCCGCGCGGGGGTGGCGTCCCCCTGCCCGCCCACGGCGCGCGGCGACCTCCGCGGCGATCGGAGGCGCCGCCGCCACCGCCCGCCGCGGGGGGTCGAGGAAATGAGGGAGGAGGGGGCGGCGGCGGGAACGGGGGGATCGGCCTGCGGCCTGTCATGGATGGTCACTGGCACTTAGCAGTGCTAAGTGCCAGTGACCATCCATGCCAGTTCGATCCAACTCGGACAGTGTATAGGAGCAGTGTGGTCCCGTAAAAAAAACTATCTCGTGACACTTGGTCACGACATAGTTTTTTTTACGGGTGATCGGCAGGCCAGCAAGTATCCTTCCCTCTTCCCTGCCCGCAGCCGTTTGGGCTCATCGAGGCTCGAGGTTCGAGGCCGCCCTGGCCTGGGCCGCCGCCGGCCGCCGCCGAGGCCGCCGCAGCCTCGTACGCGTCCCCGCCCCAACTCGGGGATCGGGGAACCATTGCTGCCCCGAGATCGGCGCCGCATCCGTCGGCGCCGATCTCGTTGCTGCAAGGGTTCCCCGACTTTCTCCCCCCCCCATCCCGAAATCCACCGCCTGCCAAACCGCCCCTGGGGGCTCGCCGATCTTAGGGGTGGGGATGCGTTCGAGGCTGGCATGTTCATCCTCATCTCTGAACTTGATGGGCAGATTCCCTACCACCACTACCATAGGTAGGAGAGGGAGGAGGAGGATGAGGAGGATGAGGAGGAGGAGTCAGCAGGAGGAGGAGGAGGAGGAGGAGGAGGAGGAGGAGGAGGACCTCTCCATCCTCCGTTCTCCCCAGTCGTACATATGGTAGTGGCATTGGAATGCTTGCCCATCAAACCTCATGACGCCTTTGAGCAAGGTCACAATCCAGGACGAGCTCAAGAGCCACAAGAAGGCCGTGAAGGCCCTCAAGAAAGGGCTCGAGCACTCGCAGAAGAGCCTTGACCTCTACGTCGACATCGTGCAGACGCAGAAGAACGTCATAAAGGACCTCCGCGCCGAGCTCCGCGCCAAGAATCGGCGCCTACAGCGACGAAACAACTAATCGCCATTGTTCGCGTAAGTTGCCCGCGCAAGGTCGCGCGCATGCGCTTTGGTTGTCGAGCCAGCGTGAGGTCAGTATCGATTGGCCAGCGTGAGCCGCAGCGTAAGGTCAGTATCGATTGGCCACTTTCCACCAACATTACCATAAGTAGGGCGGGGGAGACGGGGGGATGGGGAGGTCTTCCTCCTCATCCCCCCCCCTCCTCCTCAACCTCCTCCTTCCCCCCTCTCCTACCTATGGTTGTGGTGGTGGCAAATCGGCCAGCCGCACGATCAGTTGTTTTGCGTCGCCCAGGGCGCTGGGTGCCGTGGCGAAGACCGCGGACCGCATGGCCGTCCGCCTCCGCAAGCAGCAGCGGCGCTGAGCTGAAGGCAGCGGCAGCGGGCAGTGCAGCTGCAGCAGCGGCAGGCCGACAACCGCGTGCAGCCGAGGCTGATTAGCAGGTCGACCCCGCCAAGTCAAGGGTACCCATGTGTCTTGTGCCTCGCGGCCCGTGCTTCCACATTCATAGGGCAATGTGGCCCTCGGAAGAGTCTTGCTTCCTCTCGCGCGTCCTCTTCAATCCACCTCGACTGTAATTCAGATCGGTTGGACGCCCGCCTCTACCGCAGCAGGGCCAGCCAGCAAGTGAGGGCCGCAGCAGGCCAACTTCCCCCCTTCACCTCCGCCCTCTGCGCTATGCACTGCCCGAATCGTTCGCTCACTCCACCATCCCTCTACCCCCTCCCTCCCCGCCCTGACGTTCCGGCACGGCCCCTGGCCATTGGGCCGCTGGCCACCATTCGGGGGCCCCCAAACGGTGTGGTGACCTCACCGTGCGGTGAGTCGGTGGGGATTCGGGGTCACCGCACGGTTTTGGGACTCGAGTCCCTCTCAGAGGATGTCTCGGGCGACAGGGGCCTCCAGGGTACCAAGACCGTGCGGTGACGGACCGTGCAGCGAGATCTCTTGGGGTTCCGAGTCGAGGTCACCGCGCGGTATGTCACCGCACCGTTTCGGGACTCCAAAACAATTTTTAAGACGCAATCGTGCGCAGCTCGGCTCGCGGCTGCCATCAGCCCTGCCAGCGCAGCCAGCGCCAGCGTACTCGAGCCTCGACGGTCGACGCGCGTGCCCGCGGCCAGAACTCGTCGTCGTGGATTCTTTCGTTCGCACAATTGGGCTAGTCCTAGGGCGACGAGGTCGATGCATGTCCACTGCCCCTGGCAGGATGGGCCCAGGATGGGCCTAGCCAGGAGCAGTGGATACATATATATATATATATAGAAAGAAAGAGACACATAGAGAGAGAGAGAGAGATCTCGTCGCCCTATGCATGTCTGGCCACTGCTGGCCGAAACCTTGATTCATGGCCGAATCCTGCTCGGCCCCATGATTCAGGGCTTCGACTCGAAGCCCTGAATCATGGGGCCGAGCCCAGGCCCTGGGGGCCATTGGGCTGT